CGGTTTTTTTAGGGTGGTTCAACCATATCAAATATTAACTAGTTTGCATGATGTTTATACAACACATTGGTTATATGTATACTAGTTAACTTGCACCTTAATGTAACTCACGTAAGACAAATAAAATGCAAATTTATGTTAACTTGAAGTTTTTTGTTGATCATGTTATATTAGAAAGTGCTTCATCAGATGTATTTTAATTCTGCTTACATGTATATAATAGATTGGTTTGGTATTCGCTTGTAACAGGGTATTTGAAAGTTGTTTAAGTCAACAGACTAATTTGCCTTTTAGATCTTACACCATTTTCTGGGAGGAAAAATCGAGTTGCTCTTTTTTTTTAAAAATGGAGATACTACCGTGTGACACAAAAAAAAGGGTTCATCACCTAAACTTGGTCGACGAAGAGGGGTCGTCAGGGACCTCCAGTGGTTCCAGCAGGATGGTGCCAACCCCCACACCTCAAACGAATCATTGGCATGGCTACAGCAGCGTTTCCCTGACCGACTGATCAGCCGCAGGTGTGACCCGGAGTGGTCGCCGCATTCACTGGACTTGAACGCCCCAGATTTTTATCTGTGGGAATACCTTAAGGACAGGGTGTATGGCAACAACCCCCAGACTATCCCTGATCTGAAGGCAGCAATCACCGCATCAATAAAAGCGATCCCAAGGGAAGAATGTGGGAGGGTCATCGAGAACTTTGGCTTGCCCGCCGGATCCAAATGTGCTTGCAGCACCGGGGAGCTCATTTAGAGCATATTTTTTGAGTGCCAGTTAAACAAAGATTTTTTGTGGTACAGACTTGAAACTTTGGAGATGTCTGCTACATAGACTTAACCTAATGTAGCTGAATTTTCGTGTTAATCGAAATAAAATTTTGGAAGTTATTCGATTTTTATTGATGAACGTTTTTTTTGTGTCACCCTGTATTACACCGTTTCCTGGGTGATAAAATCTAGTAGCTGAATTTTTGTGTTAATCGAAATAAAATTTTGGAAGTTATTCGATTTTTATTGATGAACGTTTTTTTTGTGTCACCCTGTATTACACCGTTTCCTGGGTGATAAAATCTAGTTTAAAAAAACAACAAAAAAAACCCCATCTCCCACATGAGGCTATGTATCAAAATACTAAAGAACTAAAAACGTCTCCCATATGAGGTTGTATATGAAGATACCAAAGAACTATAAACATCTTCCACACGAGGCCAGTATCATCAAGATCCTAAAGATCTGAAAATATCTTTCAAGATACTAAAATACTAAAAATCACATTGGTTTGGCCTAAGTGGTTGCTACTTCAAAATTTCTACCCCAACAAGACCATAAATGACCAGAGTTGGCATCATTTAGGTGTTCTGTTACAGAACTGATATATGCCCTTTGTGAATTGCAATAGTTTGAATTCTTCAATAGAAGAAGCAGTTATTCAGTGTGGTTATAGTTTTGATATAAAGTCCTGACAAGTTTGACAAGTTAAGTTGCAGGAGTACAATTTACTGATGAAAAATAGTTTCTGTTAACCAGACCTATTCTGTCTGTAGGGTCTAGGAATGTTGGTCTTTGAATCGTTATTTGACCAAGACTACGATCTCAAGAATTTGGCCCGACATGCCATAATTACGCATGTCTAAATATTGATTATCCACTGAAAAAAAAATGATATATAATGCAGATACTTAAAGTTTATAATTACTTTTATGAAAAGTTCCAGTACCCCCCCAATAAATTCTTAGTTGCATTTGACAGTTCATCCAGCAGACTTATTAATCATGTGATATTTTTATGTGTACGTGTAGTTGAAAACGAAATTGCGGTAATGTTGTTGATTCAGAAAAGCTATTTGGAAGATTTGTCCAGTTGAATGTACAAACTCCTGCAAGTGAAAATTATCGAAAGTTATGAAAAGTCATAATAAATCTGTTTTTTTAAAGTGGAATTACTTCCCTTTGAAAATACTATAATGTATGGTCTGGGTGTTCAAGACTAGATGAAAAGTGATGGATGAGAAAATATATAAGAAGATTTGGAACCAGTGAGTTTAGTGATGTTTTATTGATAGAAGTACCAATGAGGTCCACACACAAATATTTGACGAGTTTACTTTGGATAAGAAGCAGAGTGTGTAAATCTCTCATAAGAAGTTTGATTAAATTTGAAGTGAAATTAAATGTCTAGCATAAATGATTATTCCTGGCCACTTCTGACTTTTTTTTCCATTTACGTCTTCTATTACAAGATATGTTCCATCAAAAAACAGAACTACACGTAGGTGGAACTAATACTTATTCGATTTACGTAGCCTTACGGCATTTACTCAGACTTGTCCATGACTTCTACGAAAGAAAAGCAAATTATCCTTAGAATAAGAAAAAGTTCAATGACTCTTTCAATATTTACTTACAAAACGGGAGACATTTTGTTAACTTTACTCCACAAATACTTACCAGCTTGATAGATTGAAAATTAAATAAAGTTTCTTGCTATGGAGTATTTACATTAGTTTTTTTTTTTCAATGAACAGTAGAAAAGTAAAAATATGTGAAAATTGTTACTTTTTATTTGAAGAATACAATAAATGTAGGAGACTCATGAGTTATATGTGAAATAGCCATAAAACACTTACAAATGGATGTCTTTGGATTAAAAACATATCGGCGACTTTAGGTACAGACACCCTCATTTGAGATATAATAATGAGGCTATTATGCCCAACAAACCAAAAACTACAACCTTTCATGATTTCTATTGTGAGCAATGTCCAGAACGCTTCATTTGTTAATGATTTAAGCAGTACACTTGATTGAGTCATGGTTGTCATTTGCTCAATTTTGTCAGTCAAATGATAGGCAAGGCTTGAAATGTCTGACTGAACAATTTGTCTGTTATTCATTTGGCATGTCAGAAAATTTCAATTTTTGACTTAATTACTTTAACCCAATTTTTTGTGTTTTATTGTTAAAAGGGGGCTATATCCCTTACATGTAAAAAAAATAAATCTAAAGGAAGCGAAATGGGGTTTAACGTGCACTCGACACAAACTAGGTCATTTTGGGAATAACATGGTTCAGTTTTATTTCAGTAATTCGCTTGCGTGTAGGGGTCTTTTTTATCCATGGAGGACCTGGAGAAAACTAACGAGGTTGGACAGATGATCCTACTCCTTGTCACGTACAAGCAAGGAATCGGAACCACACCACTTGACTCAAACGACAGACATTCTGATCCAGCATGGACGCGTTAACCATTCAGACACTCAATCCCCCGCATTGCACATAGAACAGATTTTCAAATATTAAAGCAACTGTCCGTCTTTTGAAGTGATTTTGAATCCCCAACATACTACTAAGTTGACTCTCTGAAAGGAATATTAGTCCAAAATAGCTTCAGTTTCATTCAATATTTACAACAATGTTGCACTAAAAATTTCACATCACTTAGCTGCTGAATGATGTGAAATTTTCAATGCATCATTGTTGTAATGCATCATCTACAGATTGAAAACAAGCTAGCACCCCCTATAAATTTTGGTTAAATTCTATAGATGTACCTTGTCTGCGATATCACCATAAATATCACCCTAGGTGGAAGTGCACGTACCAATACAATATACCTCTTTTTAATCCGTTTTAATCCCAAGCTGGAAGATTATCTACCATTGATATTTTGGTTTTGTTATCTTAATTAAATATATAATTATCGAGGAATTATTTTAGAATAGTAATCATATAAACTTTACTTTCGACTATTTATATTTCCATTATTATGTGTGGAATATGAAGCAGTGGAAAGTTTGCGGAGTTTCAACTTCCAAGGAATCTTTTAAGTACCCTACCAATTTGTAAACAGGACTTGTTTCCTTTTCGTACTATCCAAAGAATTAATTTTATACATGCTTTTCTTGCGCACTGCACAGGTACTTCCCCCAACCACAGAGAACATGGCTTGAAAAATCTTAATGTTTCTTCCTTTGACATTTATAAATCTTCATGTGTTTGCATGCATGCACAAGGAACAATACAAACTAAACAAACTTAAAACTTTTGGCAACGTTTTGATTCGACATTTAATCAGATCATCTAATCATCAATTGGCGAGATTGAATAAATATGGCATAGGGCTCCGACTGGAATTCAAACAGAGGCCCTTACATCAAAATGATTACAAATGATCTAGCATCTTTTAATTTTTTTTGAAAATATAATTATCATTAACTGTGACGTTCAACAAATCTACCCGTCAATGCAGTAATTATTTGTTGTAAATGTGTTTATGAAACAACAATACATAACACTTTTTTTTTCTGTTAAAACAGTTTAGGCGGGAACTACATGTTTTTATTCATCCCAGTCAATTACCCCTTTAAACTCTCCTTGATTTTTCAAGTTATCAGATAATTATATATTTTTTATTTTACTACAAACAATCTAGGAAGAAGAAAAAACAGTTTTCACATGCATGTGTGAATTACTTAATGACTGTTTTTTGGATAGAGGGCAATAATAGGATTTAATAATTTGTTTTCGAGTCTTATAAGAGTAATTTTACCTAAAGGCGTAAAGAGCAAAGAGCTGTGAAGGTTAATCGAATTCAATTACTAGGTGTCTGGGCAAAATTTTCACATTTTTTTTTCACTGATCTTTAAGTTGAATATTACAATAAAAGGATTAAATAATCTGTTTGGACCTCAAGGGAATAACATAATCGCTGGTTAATTGAAAATAGATTGCAACTCATTGAAAAGTATTATGTTCATAGAAAATATTGTGGAAATGCGGACTAAGATTTTGTAGATACGGCATATTAATTGAACAAAAAAATTAATTTAAAAACTTTTTGAAAGCTTGTAAAAATAAAAATTTAAACAAAGTTTATCATATTGTTTAATTATATAAGTATATTAATTGGTAATTCTGTTTTTAATTTAAAATAAAATTATGAAAAAAAAAGTTTTGAAAGAAAGTTAAATTGCCTAATATGTTTGTTTTGCAAACTTACCTTTAAGTTGAAATAAATATGTTAAAAGTTCCATATAATGGTGTTGAAAAACAGAAAATATACCATTTATGTTGCACCCGCTAGCAACAGGGAGATTCGTATTGCCCTTTCTGCTGATATGAACATAGTTATTGAAGATGGTGCTGAGAACATTGACGGCTGTCGAAATCTACCTTGTGAAAGTTTCCGACCCTTACCAATCAATAAACGACTAGCAATAACAAACGACACTGTTAAGACTATACTGCGTGGGCAGTCAGTTTGCCTGTCACTCTTAATTTTCTCTATAGCTTTCATTGATCATTTTTATGCAAATATTTTAACTTCAAAAGAGTACTGACGGTTTAAATTAAACTCCTTTTTTGTGGGGATTAATTCAAGGTCTTTAAGTTTAATTAAACGGCAACAGGTCTTTATTTGATTAGTGTTGTCAGATTTACAAATGTCTTGTTTGCGTTTTCTTTTTACATTTAAAAGATTTGTGACACTATCATTGTAGGGGTCCATTTGTCTTAGAGTGTTCTGTAGAATGTCATTATATCAACCAAATTACTTTTCTTTATTAATTTAAAGGACTGCAAGACAAACTTTCATTTCATAGATGATTAAACGTGCATTATGCAAGAGCTAAATCTGCCGATTGCAACACTTAAACTTATCAATACAACAAGCTATTTAAAATTGTTAATTAGTTGATAGTGTCAATGCTAATCAATGTTGATAATATTATCCTAAGTAAAGATTATTGGATTTGGGACTTCATTATTCTCACTTCATTAAATTTATTCTAATTATCAATTTATCATCCAATTTATGATGTTGGCTATAGGTATATATGTGAGCGATTATGTTGTTTGTAAAATCAAATTAAACCACTTCCTGATATTTTTGCGTTATGTTAATGTATTCTTAATGATTGTAAAAAATGCAGAATAAATATTCTGAAATTTAACTAAAAATTAAAAGAAAAGGGATAATATAAGTTTTTATTAATGTCAGCAAATTTGAAGTTCGAAATATTTGCAGGCCTATATTTTTTTTTACTTTTTGGAATTGACTTTAATTTGTTATACTGACAGTAGGCCCTGTAATTATATATAAAGATTGTAACATTGATTGATGTACCATGCCAGTGAAAATTTATACTGAAATTGATATCTGGAGAAGATATTTATTAATAATTGGAGATTAGAGGCGTTGGATGGCTGAATGGTTAGTGTGTGCGAGTTGTATCATATAGACTGTCATTGAGTCGACTGGCGGGGTTTCAATTCACAGCTTGTACAAGACAAGGAGTAGGGTCACCTGTCCAACCTCATGGGTTTTCTCCGGGTCCTCCAGTTTCCTCCCACTGCTAAAGACCCCTACGCGCAAGTGAATTATTGAAATAAAATTGAACCATATATGTTAGTCCCAAAATGACCTAGTTTGTGTTGAGTGGACATTAAACCCCATTTTTCTCTCTCTCTCTCTCTCTCTCTTTCTCTCTCTCTCTCTCTCTCTCTCTCTGTGGAGAATAAATGATTTATTTTAATACTTCCAATTAGGAAACAGATATTTAGATAAGATCAAGAACATGTCACTCAGTACAACAAACTCACTTTTGATGAAAGATTTACAATCTGTTCTGAATGAAAAAAATACGTAAATCCATATGACAAATAAAGACAAAATCGAAAGACAGTCATATATCTCTCCAACTAAGAAGTAGTTAATTGTTTGATGTCTTGCATATTTGCGTCTAATTGGGATGGAAAAAAACCCATCCGATTCCTCTGCTCTATAGATCATATGATTGCAGAAAAAATGTTGGTAATTGGTCGTTTAAAAATTCGTATGAAGATAATATCTCCTTTGGGAATAGTAATTTGTAATAGATTGTTTTAAAATAAATATCGAAAAGTATAGGTTAATTGTTTGCTTTTGAGCATTGAGCATCATTTCTTGATTATTAATTGAAATTGTATGTTTGATTAAATATATTTGTACAAGTGAGGAATTGATTTTAGGTACCACATAAAATATTCATTTGCATTTTCAAGTGAAATTGTAAAATTGATTTTAACTTAAATTTGATATATGATATGATAATATGGGGTAATTGGTTTGTATTACAAGTGAATAGTAAGTGTGAATTAGTGCTTAATATTGATTTTGTCTCTGTTTGTGATGATGATAAACAGAAATATAGTAAATATATAATCCTCGAATATGAATTTCTATAGAACTGTTTATATCAATTGTCCAGCATCCAACGGTATTGACGATATTGATTTAAATGTGATGAAAGTTTATATTAATATAGAGCTTATCAAATATTCACAATAACCCCATAAAAAAAATAGTACTGGTTATTCTGTTGATTGTATTCCTTATCCAGGACCGCGGAGCCGTAGTGGGTCAGTGAGTAAGACATTGGCTCGCTAACCAGGAGGTCCTGTGTTTCATCAGGTTTTTCTGGCATGGTTCCCCCTTGTCAATGGCGCAGGATGGCAGGCCCAGCAAGGGACGGTGTATAATAACAAGGTCATGTGTACACATTGGCTTTCACATAAAAGAACCCTTGGCAGTTCGAATTCGATATAAGAGTAGGCCGTAGTGCTGCTGTCGGAGCAAAATTTCCCTCATAGCGCACTGTATGGCGTATGCCTGTCTTCATTAGCCCAGTCTGAGCAGAACAGGACATTAAACTCCATTTCATTTCCTGGTTAGTTGTTTTTTCATATTAAAGATGTTATTAAGGTGTAGGACATCTTTTGTTTCTATATGTCCATTACAAGACTACCGGTACTACAAAAATTGTTAGCTATGTGAAATTAATGTTCGTAAATGAGTGTACATACTTTGCAACATGCATGGTACCCATCACAAACTGTAGTAGTAACGATCGTTTTACCCATTGAAAGGTGGGGGGGTGGATGGCCGAATGGTTAGCACGTGCACGCTGTATCATTGAGTCAACTGGCGTCGTTTTGATTCCCCGGTTGCACATGACAAGGAGTAGGGTCGTCTGTCCAACCTCATGGGTTTTCTCCGGGTCCTCCGGTTTCCTCCCACTGCTAAAGACCCCTATGATCAAGCAAATTATTGAAATAAAATTGAACCATGTGTTAGTCCCAAGATGGCCTAGTTTGTGTCAGTGGACTTTTAACCCCATCTCTCTCTCTCTCTCTCTCTCTCTCTCTCTCTCCCATTAAAAGTTACAGAGCATCAAATATTTATATAATTTTATGAATGAGCAAGAAAATATCTTGTAGGTGGCTTTTCTTTTGTTATTCACTGGGTATATTTCTCATCATGATGATAATAATTGTTAGAGATCGTCTTGTTCAACATCTCCTGAGGTTTATCAAATGTATCTAGATGTTTTACCAAACTTTCCTGTGAGTTTAATTATTTTGGAACAAAAAAAATCTATTGTAAATGTGGGGGTTGATCACAATTTACAATCATTCTTCTTACAACCACGCAGAAATGAATAGAAAACCAGAAAAGAGAGAGAGAGAGAGATGGGGTTTAAAGTCCACTCGACACAAACTAGTTTATTTCGGGACTAACATATGGTTCAATTTTATTTCCATAATTCGCTTGCGCATGGGGATCTTTAGCAGTGGGAGGAAACCGGAGGACCCGGAGAAAACCCATGAGATTGGACAGGTGACCCTACTCCTTGTCTTGTACAAGCCGTGAATTGAAACCGACCCTACTCATTGTCACGTACAACCGAGGAATCAAAACCACGCCAGTTGACTCAATGACAGATTTTATGATACAGCAGCAGGTGCTAACCATTCGGCCATCGAACCCCCCTAAACCAGAAAAGAAAACCCTCATATACAAGATAAATAAAAGATGGTGAATTGAAGAATGTGTATGTGGTTTGTTGTTGAATGTGTATATTGTGTGGGTTTGATTCTGGGTTTGTAGGTGGAATACGGTATTTCTTAGGTATTGCATTTCCTGCTACTCTGAAAGACACCTGCACATTATTGGAATAAAACTATACCCTGTTGCTGTCAGAATGACATAAGTTTGGACTGGACATTAAACTCTCTCTCTCTCTCTCTCTCTCTCTCTCTATCTCTCTCTCTCAGAGTATGTATTTATATGGTCCTGAAAGATGCTTTGGTTCTAAATGCCACAACATGAAATGAAATGTGACAAACAATAAATACATTTATTTCTGGAATTTCTTTGGTGATTTCTTGGTCAAATTTAGCTGTGAATTGGTCTTCATTAGAGTTTTTTTGTGTTTCCATTTATTGAGGCTGTATACAGCCTGTGGTCAGGTTCAAGTACTTGGTGATAGTGATGAAGAGAGCTGTAGACACATAATTGGGACTGAGAGTTAAGAACTAGAAGCTGACAGATTAGTTTATTGATCAGTGTTTTTATTCAAAATTTAATAAATGTCCAGCTTGTCCGCTAGTAATTCAAAATGTCAGGTACTTCTTATAGGTTAGTATCTGATATTTTTTTAACCGGTTAATCGTTATAGAAATCCAAATCGTTACTTCCAGGACTGATGTTCTTGTTGTTAGTTGTAATTTAAAATTTATATTTTTAAGCTTGTATAAAGAAGACATTGTGTAGCCCAGCTGGATGTGGACAGAATACATTATTAAAATACACTGTTCGGATCTATACTTTAAGATCAACATCTGCATGTGAAAATGTCATGTATTCTTGTTTTTGTCCCTTGGTCTTTTTGTGAAAGCGATACAATATTAAAATAGGTTTATCTATCTTGCCTGGCTGTCCATCACACCTTTTGGAACATAATTAATAATTCTTCTAATTGAGGTAGAATGTTCAAACCTGGTTCATTTGGTGAATGTCATGACTGAGTTTGTGGGTGAGCCTTTTCTGCTTAAGCTTAAGAGAGATACATAATTTGATTCGGCAATGCTTTGGAACACTGATTTTAATTCAAGATACATTATGTAAGATTTAGATAAAGAGCTAGCTATTCTTGCTGTAATAGTTCAAAAATAGATAATGCAAAATGAATATATTGAAAATTTCATTAAAATCACTCTATTGTGAGCGAAGATATTGCCTTTGAACGTTTGACAAGATGTGTGTATTAATTGTGTAACCACTGTACTGGTTGTTCGAAGCAAAGCTTTGCTTGTCCATTTTTAAATTAAATAAAAATATGGCTGAACCGTTCTAATCTACTTAAAACCGGAGATATCCGATGGCATCGAGAGTTGATTATGGTCTGCTCCTTGATGACTTGCTTTCGTTTAGTTTTGTTTACAGTGCTAAAATTCAAGTCTATATCAATTGTCTAAATGGTATATTTTGATAATATATATAAAACTTATTTTCACAGAAGTATTTTAGAATTTGTTTTATCTAATCTGGTCATACGCATAAGAAATTTACAATGTCAAAATAGTTTTCAACATTTTCAGTTGTATATTAAACATACACTATGCAAGAGCTAAATCTGCCTATTGCAGGTCTTTCTTTAGGCCTTAAATGTTATATAAACTATTAATTAGACATTTATTAACAAAACAAGACCATAATCGACTCTTGATGGCATCGGATACTCAAGATTTTAACTAGATTAAAATGGTTCGCCATTTAAAAATTTAATTTAAAAATGGGAAGCAAGGCTAAGTCACGATTATAGAATTTGTCTTTTGAACCAGGAAAACAACTCCTGTATGTTTTTGGTATCAGAACAGGCTATATCCACTTTTTACTCATCAATGTTTAAGAAAATAGATTTGTATTACCTATCAAATCGAAGAGATCTAATTTTACCCTCCCACTCAAGATCTTCTTGTTTGCAATCTTTTCTCCCGAGTTCTCACATCTAATACAATTTTACGAATAAAGCAGATTTAAAGGAACAGTATTTTTATTTATTTATAAAATCAATACATGACCAGTCTTTACATAGAATTAAAATATAATAAAAAGTAGCATTCTGAAAACGAACACATATTCATTTTGCATTATCTATTTTCAAACTATTATAGCAAGAATGGCTAGCTCTTTATCTAAATTTTACATGTGTGGGGGTGGGGGGGATGGCTGAAAGGTTGTACGTGACAAGGAGTATGGTCGCCTGTCTAACCTCATGGGTTTTCTCTGTGTCCTCCGGTCTCCTCTCACTGCTAAAGACCCCTACGTGCAAACGAATTGTGGAAATAAAATTGAACCATATGTTAGTCCCGAAATGACCTAGTTTGTGTCGAGTGGACGTTAAACCCCATCTCTCTCTCAATATATCTTTTTAAGTATTATATATACACAGGGTCTAGAGAGATTGGAGATCAAATAAATCAGTTAAACTCAATAGGCCAAATGTGAAATTAAGCCTTTTTGTTTATTCTTCCGTACAGCTGCATCTAAAAAATGGAATTCTCTATTAAATGAACTTTGATCCCTTTGAGTTTGGGTCAGTTCAAATCTTGTCTAAAGACAACAAATTATTCTCGTTTAAACCACAAATTATTCTCATTTAAACAAAAACAACAAATTATTCTTGTTTAAAAGCTGATTAATCAACTGACAACAAACAACAAATTATTCTCATTTAAACTTTATTCTCATTTAAATAAAACCTTATTCTCATTTCTCATTTAAACAACAACAACAATTTAAACAACAAATTACTCGTTTAGAAGCTGATTAACTGACAACAAATTATTCCAGTTTATAGGGACTCATTACCACTTTAAGATAACTTGTGTCGCCAGAGATATTTTCTAGTACGAAGCCAGTAATCATCATTGAAAGCAGTGAAGTGGACTTGCATTTAATTATCTTATGTAAAAAAATCTTTGCACATTGCCATGGATAAAAAGTTTTAAGTGGTCTGTTGAGAGTATGGTGCAGAACAGTAGGATGTTAAACACTAAATCACTTCTTTTGAGAGTAAATATTGATTTATTGTATTAGATGTGATCTTTGTTAATTATACGATAATTGTAAAATGTGTATTCTGGGTTAATTTATATAATTCTCAAATCCCCAACAGATTTTAACACAGATTGTGTTTGTTTTCGTTTTCAAACAAATCACTCTAGTCTCTAGTCAAAACCAGTGACAAGCTGTAACTCTAGTCTTTAAAGTTAAGTTTCAGTCAGATTTAGTGACATAGCTGTCTAGTTAAAACCGATGGGATGACTGTGTCTCTAGTCGTTAAAGTTAAAACCAGTGACATAGCTGGCACTCTATTTTTTACAGTCAAATTTAGTGACATAAGTGACATAGCTGTCTAGTTAAAACTGGTGGCATGCTGTCACTCTTGTCTTTACAGTTAAAGTTGGTGGCATAGCTGTCTCTCTATTCTTTACAGTTAGAATGGGTGGCATAGCTGTCTCTCTATTCTTTACAGTTAGAAACGGTGGCATAGCTGTCACTCTTGTCTTTACAGTTAAAACCTGTGAAGTAGCTGGTGTTTGTGGTTGATTTAACAGCAAAAGTCATTATCCGATCTACATGTATTTTTAAATTATGTTGTTTCAATTATTGCGATGAATGTATAATTACAACAATTTCTGATAACTACTTATAGAGTTATTGCCCTTGATGCTGTCGAAGAATCTTGATTTTAACAACATGCCAATCTTATTATTCAGTACTGTGTAAAAAATTTGATTTTTATTTACTTAAAGATTCATAGTGTATGGCTGCTTGGACGACTTAACTGCTTGAGCGCACTGTATCATAAGGCCTGTCATTGAGTCAACTGGCGTGGTTTTGATTCCCTGGTTTTATGTGACGAGGAGTAGGGTCACCTTCCAACCTCGTGAGTTTTCTCCGTGTCCCCCGGTTTCCTCCCACTGCTAAAGACCCCTATGCGCAAGCAAATTATTGAAATAAAATTAAAACATATGTTAGTCCCAAAATGACCTAGTTTGTGTGGAGTGGGTGTTAAACCCCATTTCTCTCTCTCTCTCTCTCTCTCTCTTTCTCTCTCTCTTGACTGCTTGAGTCTGCGATTAGAATATATTGGTATCACAAATCGAATAAGATACATATTGCACTTGACTAGAGATTTAAGTTTAAAATACTGATCAAGTATATTGTAAGGAGATGCAATTTTGTTTTGTTAAAAAATTGAATGAAATAAGATTAACTTGAACTGGTTAAATTATTGGAACAAGCACCATCCTACTTCATTTAATCCTGTTCTTAAGATTGTTCACACATAATTTAAACCAACAATTTTATATCTTCACAGACATGCATTATATTTTTCATTATAAATCTCCAGTATCACTTAAACCACTTGTAGGATTTATCTTCAGGCAAATTTTGGAGATTAAATTCAATAAAGTATTGTTATTCTATGACAAGGATTAAATGTGCTGATAAAATTTCTACAGAACATTGTACTTGAGATAAAATCATAAAGTATTACTTGAGTAGGGGTCAGGGACACATAGGTTTTGGTGCCTGTGCACGCTGTATAATAAGGTCTTTCATTGACTCAACTGGCGTGGTTTTGAATCCCCAATTGTACATGACAAGGAGTAGGGTTGCCTGTCCAACCTTGTGAGTTTTCTCCGGGTCCTCCAGTTTCCTCCCACTGCTAAAGACCTCTACGCGCAAGCGAATTATTGAAATAAAATTTAACCATATTTAAACCTTGAAATTACCTAGTTTGTGTTGAGTGTACATTCAACCCCATTTCTCTCTCTCTCTCTCTCTCTCTCTCTCTCTCTCTCTTTTACCTGAATATCACCAGACTCATATTTAGCTAAATATACCAAAAAGTGACTTTCACAATTTTATCTAAGGTTATCCATATTGCTAATATTACAGTAGCTAGATTCTTGGTACTACAGACTGGAATAATAGTTATGATTCTTGAAGATTCTTGTTTCAATTTGACCCACGATATTCAAGAATTGCTTAGTTGAATATATAAAAGTGCATTGGTTTCCCAATTGTTTTTGAGGGCACTGTGGTCCTCCAGACTATATGCCACTGAATTGAAATATGGGTAGATAAGATCAATTACATCAGCTGAATTAGTTTTTATTAGTTGTTTTTTCAGATTTTTTAAATTGAAATTTGGCTATCACAGAAAAACATTAAAATGGGCGTCTATAGAGGGAAAATCACTAGAGTATAAATAGTAAATATTTAACTAGCTCTAAAAATTATTTGAGAATTGATGACGATATTCATATACTCTTAACAGTTTAATTCTAGGGGAATCCCCTGGATTTACAATATAAATGTGATTACATAAAAATGATTAAGGTAAAAAGAAGAACTCTGTTCTAAACTGTGGCATTTGCTGCAATATAACCTGATTTTCTCCCAATGGATAATTTTCCAGTATCAATAAACTAGCTAGTGCTGAAAAATCCCTGAAGAACATTCTCGGACAACACCTGGCCCTGAGTTTAAAATGTATTTTCAGACTTAAGTTTAGAATTTACTCAATACTGTTTATATGAGAAATATCTTTGATCCAGAAAGAACAAACTTTGCACATAGTTTCTTGTTGATGTATTTGATACATTAAAGCAACAAAAGTTTTATAAAGGGCTATAGTAATTAATTAAAATAAGGCAAATAAGTTTGAGTAAATTCTTAACTTAAGTCAGAGTGCTTTGTGATCTGACTGAGTAAATGTGGCACCTCGAAAAGAACTGTAGTTCTAGATTCCTTGCTTTACCAGAATGAATTTGCAAAAGAGTATAAAATAATATATTTTTGACTTTTTCAGATTATTGCTTCAGAACCAGTGAAGATAACAATGAAGATTCGGGTGTTCTGGGAAAGGATATGGAATGTTTGGGACACGATAGCTATTTTATTGTTTACTGTGGGTGTTGTCTTCCGTAATTTCTCATCACTTTTACCTGCAGCTCACATAATTTATACAGTAGACATTGTATTTTGGTTAGTTCGTATCCTGGAAATTCTCAGTGTCAATAAATATTTGGGGCCTTATGTGAAGATTATTGGAAAATTGGTAAGTTGTAAAATTCTTTATTGTCATGAAAAATCTAGGCTGAAGTGTAATGCGTTTGTTGAAGTATGAAAAATAGCAAGCCATCAAGAGTGATGTGCCGTTTAGCTTAAAGCCTCGATACATCAATTAGCACTATAGGAATCCCTGCAAACTGCAATATTGTAAAAGTTTAATCTCTAATAGAAATATCAGTCCAAAAATGATTCAAATGAAATTTCCTCAGTCTATGCTGTTCACTAAGTAACGAGGTGCTGCCATATTTTATTGGTAGCGGAGAAACTTGATGGCCTGGTTTAAATGCCTTGAGCATTTTTATGGATAAGCTGCGCTCTACAAAAACTCATTATTATTATTATTATTGAATCTGATTGAATCCAAGTCAGTAGATTATCTGTTTTGGTATTTTGGTTTTTTATTCTTAATTAAATGTTAAATAGTCAATTTGAGTACATATTTAACATGGATTAAGCTGTGAGATATTAAGATATTTTATCGAAAATACAAATGATGCATCAAGCTTTGCAGTATTAAATCTCTATTGTAACTTTTCATAATGTTGTTGGCCATCATTTAAGGGAGATTGAATTCCTTGGAATATCAGTCCACAAGTAACATTTACATAGATATGATGAATTCACTATTGTCAGAGGGTTCAATGGCTGAATGGTTTGCGTGCTGCATCATAAGATCTGAACTTGAGTCAACTGGTGAAAAGGAGTAGGGTTGCCTGACCAACTTCTAGGTTTTCTCTGGGTCTTCCGGTTTCTTCCCACTGCTAAAGACCCCTACGTGCAAGCAAATAATTGAAATAAAATTGAACCATATGTTAGTCTCGAAATGACCTAATCTGTGTGAGTGGATGTTAAACCCCATCTCTCTCTCTATCTCTCTATCTCTCTCTGGGGTGTGTAGTTCATGTAAGCAATTAGAATTAGTATTAAGATTACCCTATCTGAAATGACATCAATGTTTGGCATCATCTGCTGAAGATTTAAAAGGGATATGATCAAGACAAGCCCTGCTACTTATAGTCTTTGCTAAGAATTTTTCATCAGTCTTTATTTAAACTGAAATCAATTAGTTATTGTGAAATCAATTTATTTATAATTCACTATTTTCAGATTGTAGATATGGCATATTTTTTGGTGATATTATTTATTGTGGTTACTAGTTTTGGAATTGTTCGTCAATCTGTTCACTTTCAACATAAACCTGTTGATTGGCACTATGCTTTACGTAATATCTGGTTCTATCCATACTGGATGATATATGGAGAATTGTTTGCTGATGAAATTGATCGTAAGTATTTATATATTTTGTAGATTTTACTTTTATTAAAATTAATATGCTGTCAAAAATGATAATATCTCACATAGTTGAAATGAATTGAGAACGTCCACTCAGTTCCATTGTAATGTTACAGGATTTTTCTGGAATTCCAGTTCAACTAATGCAAGGTATTATCAATTTCCATAGGTTATGATAAAATAATACCACAACCCTGCTGGATCCTGTTATGACCCATCAGCTTCAAAGATACAAAACATCCCCTATAAATTCTCTATGGTGCCCAAGTGGGTAAGATGCTGGTTCGCTAGCCTGGAGGTAGCATGTTCAATCCCTGCATTGGCCGAGAAAGTTCATTAGGATTTTCTGACGTGGTTCCCCCTTGTCAGTAATGCAGAAAAGAGGGCTTGACAAGGACAGCTGTCCCGTGTATGCATTGGCATGCACTTAAAAGATCCTTGGCAGTTGGAATTCGATGTAAGAGTAGGCCATAGTGCCGCTGCCCAGGCAAAATTTCCCTCATAGCACACTGTATGGCGTATACCCGTCTTCATTGGCCCAGGCGCAGCAGAACAGTAGGGCGTTAAACCCTATTTCATTTCTATAAATTCTAATAATTTCCTCTGGTATATTAGGACTGGATAATCGTCACATGATGGGATCGATCTCACAATAATTATCAACTTTTATTGAGTGAAACCCTATTGAGTTGAATCTCATGATACCAGCAGTTTTATTAAATGGAATCTCATGATGCAACCATCCTCATGGATTGGGATCTTATGATGCAACCAGCCTCTTAGATTGGGATCTTATGATGCAACCAGCCTCATAGATTGGGATCTCATGATGCAATCAACCTCATTGATTGGGATCGCGTGGTGCAACCAGCCTCATAGATTAGGATCTCATGATGCAACCAGCCTCATAGATTGGGGTCTCATGATGCAACCAGCCATATTGATTGGGATCTTATGATGCAACCAGCCTCATTGATTTGGATCTCATGATGCAACCAGCCTCATGGATTGGGATCTTATGAAACCAGCCTCATAGATTGGGATCTCATGATGCAATCAACCTCATTGATTGGGATCTCATGATGCAACCAGCCTCATAGATTGGGATCTCATGATGCAACCAGCCTCATTGATTGGGATCTCATGATGCAACCAGCCTCATAGATTGGGATCTCATGATGCAATCAACCTCATGGATTGGGATCTTATGAAACCAGCCTCATAGATTGGGATCTCATGATGCAATCAACCTCATTGATTGGGATCTCATGATGCAACCAGCCTCATAGATTGGGATCTCATGATGCAACCAGCCTCATAGATTGGGGTCTCATGATGCAACCAGCCATATTGATTGGGATCTTATGATGCAACCAGCCTCATTGATTGGGATCTCATGATGCAACCAGCCTCATAGATTGGGATCTCATGATGCAACCAGCCTCATAGATTAGAATCTTATTATTCCTAGCTCATTGACCATCAAATATATGGTGTATTAAAGTCTACATTTGCTCAAAGCATCGGTCTCAAATTTTCAGAGATTTGTAGAATACTCTGTTATTTGAATATTCGTTTCAAAATATCTCAATAGTTAGACAGAACCTTCAATGTAGATTTTAAAAAAAACGGTAATGAAATAACAAAAAAATTAGGTACACGTAAACTAAAAAGTGCAACAAGCCAAGTTGATGAATTAGATTGTTGTATCAGTCAGATGTTATATGCAAGTATTCACTAAAAAATGAAACAGCCAGAAATGTCATGGAAATAATTTCCCATGGGGTTTATTCAAGATTCATATTCTCATTAAAGTCACTTGTGGTTATTTGAGGGATAATTTGAAGCTGTTGCAAACTACAGTTTTATGGTGAAAGTTGAATCTCGAAAATTGAGAGAGAGAGAGAGAAATGAGGTTTAACATCCACTTGACACAGACTAGGTCATTTTGAGACCAACATATGGTTCAATTTTATTTTAATAATTTGCTTGCGTGTAGGGGTCTTAAGCAGTGGGAGGAAACCGAAGGACTTGGAGAAAACCCACGAGGTTGGACAGGCGACCCTACTCTTTTGTCACGTACAATCGGGAAATCGAAACCACGCCAGTTGACTCGATGAACCTGATAATACAGCACGCACGCACTAACTATTTGCCCATCCAACCACCCATCTCTAAAGGAATATTGTCTCAGAATTGTCTCAATTCCGTTTAGTATACAAAAAATATGATGCATTGAAAATTTGCTATATTCAATATCTGTGTGTGTCATAAGGTAGTTAGGTTAGAAAGAAATCAATCATTTGGCTGACAGATTTATTTCCTCATATTGTGACTACTTTCAAATCTGAATAAGATTTATAGAAATAAGTTATCATGATATTGTCATCATTCTTTCATTTAAAGTATTGACTTGTGAAATAAATGGCTTATAAAAGATAGATTTATGGTGTTGCCCAGGTCTGTATATCATGACATTAACTGTACTTGATAAAATGTCAGGCATTACTAAACTAGTTATTATTATTATTATTATTATTGTTCGATTTATATAGCGCTTCATTACACGTGAAGTGTTTCTAAGCGCATATCACAAACATATACTTCAAACACACAGAAACAATCAAAATCAGGAGAACATAATTAAACATTTGATATTTCTATCTTTGTACTGGACATATATTAAACAGACATAGATTTAAGAGCTATATTAAACAGGCATTATGTAAGAGCTAAATCTGCCTATCTAAACAAATCTAATACAGCAGGGCTTCTAAACAAAACTGTTACAGCAAGTGCAAGTTTTGTAAACAAATATGTTTAGATTTTCTAAACAAATCCATTGCAACAAATTTTCTATTCAAGTCTATTACATCAAATCTATTAATATATTACAGCAATTTTTCTAAATGAGTCTATAGCAACAGGGTTTGTAAACAAAACTATGACAGAACATTTTGTAAACGAGTCTATTTAGATTTTCTAAACAAATCTATAGCAACTTAAGTTTTCTATACAAATTTGTTATAGTAACTTTTCTAAACAAATGTATCACAACAAGTCTTCTATATAAATCTATTGCAGCAAGTTTTCTTAGAAAATCCTTGGAGATGTTTTTATTGGTATATTTATTGCTTGAAGATGAACTTTTACGTGGTTTATATGAGCATATAAATGTTGTTATTTCTACTCGTACGCCCTCGAAAATAACCTTCTTATAAATCTATCTGATTAATCTGATCTCATTTTTTCATCAGTTAATCTAGTCTGTTATTAGTGTAAAATCTGCAAGTTGATCTAGATAGTTGTTGGTTTAATTCCTGTAAAACCCCGACAATCCAGTGGGATGGCTCTGAATATAATTACAACCATAGGAAATCAATGATATAGATTAGTGACTATTTGGGCAAACATAAAATTGATAAAACTGTTTAAATCACACCCACAACTGCCTATAACCTTTAAAATGCTGTAATTGAAGTAAAGGCCATAAAAAAAAAAAAAAATTCCCAAGAAATGATTTAATGGCCCTTGTAAAAATATGTGTAAACATGATAAAAATAATTTTGTTGATGTGAAAATGTTAATCTAGAGATGAAAAATAAATTATAAAATACATATACAGAAAAAATGTTTAAAGTATTGATGGAAGAAATATTGAAGTAGGCCCACTGGTGGATTTATTACTTCCTTCATTTGGTTCTATGTGTTAGATTTACGATATATCATATTGTCTTAATGTTATGGTTTATTTTCTTTAGAATCTCTTAGAGACATATCAAATGAACGTAGGTTCTTATTTAGCAAACACTCTAAGAGATTCATGTTGCTTGACAAACATATATAACTTCTAATTATGATAGTAAATTTGGGTGATGCTGAAAACTGGCTATTCTGATTCCATAAGTACAGGTCTTATTCAGGTACTGTGACACTGATAGACTGCAGTATGTGATAATTGTGTAATGATGTGTATAGGAAATTGAACATAAATTCTCATTCTTAACGTTTCTGATGTACGAATCTGTTCGCTATTAAATGTTAGCTATTTGTAACATGGCTGATAATATATTTAATTGCACGTAAAATCCATAAATTGCATCTTACTGATTTCATCTAACATTTAGTTTAGAAAAACTTGCAAAACATAGAGACAAATCAGATAAAATAAAAAGGCATTCAGTGTGATATGATGTAATTTTGCCCTGACAGTGATGCTACGGTCTTATTCCTCTATTTCTAACTCAAGAGATCTTTAACAAGATGCCATTAGCATACACAGACCTACTTTTTGTTCCATCCGAATAACAGGACACTTTTCCTTGTCAGGTTGTCTGGTTGTCTTTCCTGCACACTGATATGGGGAAACCAGACTGAAAAATGTTGAGGAACTTCCTTTGATAACAGAATACAATTTAACACGTTACCTTTAAAAATTTCATTTATTTACTGTCTCGTGAATTCATATTTATTCAAATCTCTTTTTACCACAGCAGCACTGGAGACAAAATAAACTTAAAATTATGAGTTATTATGTTGGCCTACCTCCACTAAATCATTTTAGATGCTTCAAGATAATGAAATATGTTCTTTATGTATTTTCAGCCTGTGATGAAGCTGAGAATTGTGTTTATGCTGCTTGGGTGGCACCAGCTCTTATGTTTCTGTTTCTACTGGTGGCCAATATCCTCATGGTTAATCTACTCATTGCCAGATTCAAGTAAGTCATCTATTCTTCTCGATTTGAAGAGAGAGAGAAATGGGGTTTAACATCCACTCGACACTAACTTGGTCATTTCGGGACTAACATAGCCTTCAATTTTATTTCAATAATTTGTTTGTGCATACGGGTCTTTAGCAGTGGGAGGAAAGCAGAGGACCAAGAGAAAACCCACGAGGTTGGACAGGCGACCTTACTCCTTGTCACGTACAACCAGGGAATCGAAACCACGCCAGTTGACTCAATGACAGACCTTATGATACAGCGCACACGTGCTAACAACCATTCGACAAAGTGTACAAAGTTTCATAAAGATATCTAGAACAATTTCTGAGATATGCTCTGGAAACACAATCGGAATTGATCGAAATGCTGACCTCATTTCAATATTTCTTCTTTAATTTTGCTTGACACATAATAATAATTCTCAGTTATTTGTAAGGGATGACAACTATGTAACTAAAAATATATAAAACCAAGATAAAAGAGGCCATGACACAGTAAGGGGTCACAATATTCTGCACATAGAGATCCATCTACTTCATACTTCGAGAACAGATCCCTGCCCTAAATGGCCGCCATATCTAAAAATGAGTATACTGTTTTGTAATGTGGTTCTAATCCATTTCACATCTGTCATACACACTAAGACTAAATAAACTTTTTCAATTGTATTAAATGGAATCAGATTGAATACACAAAGAAATTCTCGAAGTATACTTGGTGTTTCGATTAAAGTAGTCGATTTAGGACTTAAAATTTTGTTCAACTAGCTTAGTGTCTGTTTTCAAGCGGAGCTAACGGCCTAAGTTTAGTATGGGGTCACAATAGCTCAATATAGAATAAAAACAAATATTATTGGGTTTGTACAAGACCAATTTGCATAGATGTATGATAATTTTTCAGTTCATAATTTTTTTCAAATTTGTTTTTTTCAGTGCTACATTTATTCGTAATAATGCCATTTCAAGGGAGATATGGAAGTTTCAACGATATACTTTAATCATCGAATACGAGATGCGTCCTATTTTACCCCCTCCACTTATCATCTTCAACCATATATATTTAGCTTTTAAATATTTAGGTAGAAGATGTAAGGGAAAAAGAGAATATTTTGACAATGGTTTAAGTAAGTAGTTTTAATATTTTAGGTTGCCAACATGACAAGAAAAAACGTCTAGTATTTCAGATGGCATTGAAAAACATAGGGTCTATGTATACATTACCCCTGATGCTTGAATATCAAAATAAGAGGAAGTTGTAGTGCTCTTCTCTGTGAAAAATTACACCTCAGCACAGTGTAAGCCTGTCTGCATTAGCCCACTAGGTGCAGAAGAATAGGGTGTAAAACCATTGTCTTGTCAAGGCTTTGACTTAAATGGAAATCTAAGGAAGTATCTATTAAGTTAGTTTCTAGTTTCAATTCCCCTGTCTACACATGTTGTTCATCTTGTTCAGTATCTTGAATTATATCACTCACGAAGGTTGGTTCACGTCCACATTAGATCATAATGGCTGTCATTAAGTCAGGTGTTTTTGTTTTCGATCCTGCTTTTGTACGTTGCCTCATCTCTTGGGTTTTCTCTGGATTTTCCTGGGGTTTTTTCCTACAGCTAATATATCAAATAAAGGTATCTTATGTTAGTCCCAAAAGGACCTAATTTGTGTTGAATGGACATTAAACCCCATTTCTTTCTATCTGTGTCTAACATCAACATAGATTAGATGCATGTATAAGTGACATCATCCTCCTGACATTTTTGAAACAAAATAAAGTAATCTTTGATGGTATGACTGCGGGACATTTTTGACCTAATTACATGATTGACAGAAAGGCATCCATAACAGTTTGTTAAATAATATCATTACCGCATGATATCATAAACAGTATAAATAATTAGCAGAGATGTAGGGCAAAATGACGTACAGTTTTCAGGATTTGATGCCAAAGATTAGATTTACAAACAGTTACATCCAGTTTGTCATTCATTTCTAATCAACGGATCCTTTAGTTTACTCCATGATTCGAGCCATGGTGGTTCACTGAGTATAAGCTGCCTCACTAACCATCTGATCATTTAGTTTATCATATGATGGGAGCCATGGTGGCTCAGTGAGTATAGGCTGGCTCAGTTGGTATAGGCTGGCTCAGTGGGTATAAGCTGCCTCACTAACCATCTGATCATTTAGTTTACCATGTAATGGGAGCCCGGTGGCTCACTGAGTATAGGCTGGCTCACTAACCATCTAATCCTTCAGTTTACCATCTAATGGAGCCATGGTGGCTCACTGAGTATAATCTGGCTCACCATCTGATCATTTAGTTGTCCCCCGCCTTTCGAAGAAAGCAGGGGACTATTAAAATGGGTTTGTCTGTCTGTCTGTCCGTCTGTCTGTCCGTCCGTCCGTCCGTCCGTCTGTCTGTCCGTCTGTCCGTCCGTCTGTCTGTCCGTCACACTTTTTGGGACACAATAACTCTCTTCCTAATTGAGCTAGAATGTTCAAACTTGGTGTATGTGTTTATTAGGTCAATGCCTTGATGGAGTTCGAAGATGAGCATTTTCCGCTTAGGGTAAGCAGAGATAAGCAATTTGATTGGTTGATGCTTTGGGACACGATAACTCTCTTCCTAATTGGGCTAGAATGTTCAAACTTGGTGTATGTGTTGATTAGGTCAATGCCTTGATGGAGTTCGAAGATGAGCATTTTCCGCTTAGGGTAAGCAGAGATAAGCAATTTGATTGGTTGATGCTTTGGGACACGATAACTTTTAATTGAGCTAGAATGTTCAAACTTGGTGTATGTGTTTATTAGGTCAATGCCTTGATGGAGTTCGAAGATGAGCATTTTCCGCTTAGGGTAAGCAGAGATAAGCAATTTGATTGGTTGATACTTTGGGGCACGATAACTCTCTTCCTAATTGAGCTAGAGTGTTCAAACTTGGTGTATGTGTTGATTAGGTCAATGCCTTGATGGAGTTCGAAGATGAGCATTTTCCGCTTAGGGTAAGCAGAGATAAGCAATTTGATTGGTTGATGCTTTGGGACACGATAACTTTAGTTCTAATTAAGTGAGATTGATGAAACTTGGTGTATAGTTTCATTACAGTAATACCTTGACTAAGTTTGATAATGAGCATTTTCTGCTCAGGGTAAGCAGAGCGATACGCAATTTGATTGGTCGAGACTTTGGAAAACAATAACTCTCCTACTTTGATTGTTAGACTATAAGTAAAGATATACTGTTTGATTGTTCAATACTTTGTAAAAGATAATTTGTGATAAATTTATATGTGTCCTCTAATTATTTTCCTATTTCGGCGGGGGACATCAGCCTCACTGTTGGCTTGTTTACCATGTGATAGGAACCATGGTGGCTGACCGAGTATAGGCTGGCTGAAGGAGTATAGGTTGGCTCACTGGGTATAGGCTGGCTGAAGGAGTATAGGTTGGCTCACTGGGTATAGGCTGGCTGAAGGAGTATAGGTTGACTCACTTACCAGTAAGTTCTTAGATTGATCCCAGTGATGGCCAAGATAGTTTGTCAGCATTTTCCAACGTGGCTTCCCCTTGCTAATGGTGCAGGAGTGGGGGAGGACAATGAAAAACCCTGAAGTCCACCCATGTATTTATTACCATGCGTGGAATACAATGAGGTGTAATCATTAGCCTGATTGCTACAGGATAGGTTTGACTACACTGTTAAGTTGATATCTTGTTGACTAAGCAGCAAATAACTTTTAGAAATGAATCTGTCTGGCACTAACAGATCAAATGCTTCATTTTATAGGCATAATGTTTAGTAGTTCATTAAAATTGTTAGTAATCAGGCAGTAGTCATTAAGTAGGTGTTATGTCACTAAGGTGTTAAAACTGTGACTATTTATGATATACATGTACATCAGTATTGTCCAGGTTTGTGTATTCAATAGTGATGGGTGTTTTAAATAGTCACGCCTCTGCACTAGTAGTGACATCTTTTACAGCTAGTTACACACCTGTTAATTAATGACAACTGTATAATTTCTAATCACTTTCTATACATACTAAACATTAGTTTAGAATACTGACCACTTATATGATTTAATGACAAAAATTGTCATTAATAAAAGACCCAGGTTCAAAAGTCAATGGTATCAGCTTATCGGTGCTAGAATGTTAATTATTATCCCGATTTTGACTTTGGATAAAGAAAATAATCTTTGATTTCATGTTTTCAGAATTGTTTTTATCTCATGAAGACACAGAAAAATTACACGATTTTGAAGAAGAATGTGTTGAAGATTATTTCCGTGAGAAGGAGATGAAATTTCAATCGTCGTCTGAAGAACGAATTCGATTAATCAGTGAAAGGTTAGTACACTAGTAATTGATAAAAGAGAAGTCCAGCCGGTCTATATATTATATTGAAACAGTTTCAAATGAAATGGGGTTTAACGTCCTACTGTTTTGCTCAGAACTGGGATAATGAAGACGGGCATACGCCATACAGTGTACTATGAGATAAATTGTCAGGCCCTTTTGTCTGCCCCACTGACAAGGGGAAACTGTGCTGAAAAATCACGAAGGGCTTTCGGATAGGATGAAAAAAAACCCAAAAAACAAGGTCCCATGTACAAGTGGGCGTGCATGTAAAATAATATTATTGCAATTCAAAATGTGAGTAGTTCGTACTGCTGCTTTTCCAGCAAAATAACCCTCACTAGGTGGCTAGAAATAGGATCTTGATCCCCCACATCATTTGATTTCTTTTACAATTTCTTGTGCAATTCTTGCATAATCAGTCTCAACACAAAAAGAGATACTAGAATTGGGAACTGAATTTTATTTTTATATCAATTTAAAAATGACATGTCTATCATATTTGACCAGAAGAGTGCAATAATATAACTGTGTTGGGAAATGGAATCTGTGTATAAGAGAGAGAGAGAGAGAGAGAGAGAGCACAAACTAGGTCATTTCAGGACTAACACATGGTTCAATTTTATTTCAATAATAAGCTTGGTTGGACAGGCGACCCTTCTCTTTGTCATGTACAACCGGGGAATCAAAACCTCAATAGTTTAGAAGAGATAAAAGCTTAATTTAGTACCACCGCATAAAAACAGTGAAACAATATACCTCAACATATTTAGAATAAATATCACTGAATCTAAATTATTGGAAGACAAATTATGAAATTAGCATAAATTTTCTTGTGTGTTCTTGCTGAAAATATAAATAGCTCTTAGTTTTGTGATCATTATTTGATGGAATCTCTTATTGGGCTTCGTCATCATAGCCTCTTTAATTCAAAATAATAAAAAAATTTTTTAAATATTTTTGGTGGATCTAGCTAGATTAATCGAGAATTGCAAATAATTAGATGAAAATTTAAAAAAAAAAATCTTCTGAGCTAAATTTAATATTCTATTTACGTGCAAAGTTAATAGGAAATCGTATATAAATCAGAGACCACATGGTGTTTTAGTGCCGGAGTCTGTCTGAAGCTTTATAGAAAATTACCGATTATCAGAGAATATTCCAGATATTATCAACACGCTGTGTCACAGTTTGAGTGGAATTTATTCTCTCAACAGACAATAGGACATGAATTGGATAATTATCATGTCAACGTATATTGGGAAATAGGTCGCAGGTTTTTTTTTTTATATAAAGGCCAGATAACTGATTTTAATTTTATTATCAGCATCAATTTCATGATATTTATCTTTCCCCATCAGGAATCGAAATAAATAGATTTACTCAATTTGATACATTGTTTTCAATCGGAATAAGGTTTAGACTAAAGGTTTCTTAATAAAACTGGGGGGGTGGATGGCCGAATAGTTAGCATGTGAGCGCTGTATCATAAGGTCTGTTTCCTCCCATTGTTAAAGACACCTACGCGCAAGCGAATGATTGAAATAAAATTGAACCATGTGTTAGTCCCGAAATGACCTAGTTTGTGTCGAGTGGACGTTAAACCCCATTACTCTCACTCTCCTGTATTTTTCCATCTCTAATTACAAGCAATTATATGTGAAGAAATAAAATGGAATGAAATGAAATGAGGTTTAACGTCCTACTCCGACAGGGCTAATGAAGACGGGCATATGCCATACTGTGTGCTGTGAGGAAACTTTTGCCCGGGCAACAGCACTACGGCCTTCTCCTATATTGATTTTCCAACTGCCAATGGATCTTTTACATGCACATCAATGTGTTTACCTGACGTCGTTTTTTGTCCCATCTGTACAACTAGTTATATATGATTGTAAAGGATAATAAACCCAACTGAATCTATTATCCGATTATTGAAATAAAACAAGGTTAATTGGTTATAAACTGATATGTTTTTCTTTTACTCTTGCTTGAAACATCCAGTTTAGCTATTATTTTTTGCATTCATTAAACCAGTCATTCATAATGCATATGCTCTTAACTATTCTTCTTTAGAATATAATGCATATTGAACTATGTAAAAAAATTATAATCAAATAAGAAAAGCATCAGATAAAAGCATTAAATATAGTTAAAGGAGCTAAGTCTTTAACTCAATATCATCCAAAGTCTTTGATATTGAAAACACGAATTATTTGTCAATTTTTATTGTGATCTTACCGGGAAAAGATGGACTTCTGATATCCAATATTTAAGACAAAATAAACATTTTTCCATTGGTACATGAACTGTGTACCAGAATTCGTTTCAGCACCATTTGTAACAAGGGACTCGAAGAACAAGGCTAGACATATTCCACAAGTCATGTCATGGCATATTCTTATCTGGAGAGAATGTGCAATAAATACTACTGGTGTAGATTGGAATAACCAGATGCTAGAGATTGCCATTCAATTGAGACTTCTCACGTTGACGAACATAACTGATTTGGACTTAGAGTAAAAATGGAAACGATTGAGTGTAAATCAGTTCATATACATTCATAATACATTATTATATGTGTGTGTGTGACCCATTTGTGTCAGGTCACAAATATTAGCAACTTAGCTCCTTTAACCTTCATAAACTTATAAAAATAAATGAGTTGCGTGGGACTTTTTGAATGAAACATCAGACGACCTATCAAATGAAACCATTAAATATAGTTAGCTGTCATTAGCTTTTAAAATTAAAATGGTCTAAAGAGATTTTTTTTTACAATTTAACTGAAAGCTTTTGGGCTTCTTGAGATGAAAAAGTCCATTCTTCATGGAGAAACTTTTACAGATTTTACTTTTAAAAGATAACTATCTGGTGAATTTGAAGATTAGTTGATCTATATAGACTGGGGTCAATATTATTACAACATTTATAAATAAATTTTAAAAGCTTATTTATATCTATTAGTACAAAAGGGTACCAATTTGATTGATGAAGCATATGCGATAAATTGAGATTTAGTTTGCAGTAATATGTGCGAACTGCAGAGTATTGCACTCTTTCTGATTGATTGATTAGCTTAAGAGAAAGTCTAGCTAAAAGCGATATAATGTTGTCAGACCTGGAGGTGATAGGAACTGTAATAAAATGGGGTTTTGCTTCAATCAGGCTAATGAAGACGGGCATACACCATGCTGTGTGTGTGTGCTATAAAGGAAATTTTACCTGGACAGCGGCGCTACGGCCCACTCTTATATCGAATTCCAACTGCCAAGGGATTTTTTACATGCACACTAATGTGTACACAAGATCTCAGTTTTTCGTCTCCTCTAAATGACTAGACAGCGTGTCCTTGTAGGGCCCTCCACCCTGCACCACTGGCAAGGGGAAACCTTCCCAGAAAATCCTGATAAACTTCTCGGCCAACACAGGGAGAGAACCTTCGACCTCCAGACTAGGGAGCAATCATCTTACTCACTTAACCACCATGACTCCTGAGTTAAAGATGCATTTGGGTAAAGAGCTGACAGTTCTTGCTATATAATAAATAGTTAAAATATAATGAAAAATGAATGTATTGAAAATTTCATTCAGATTACTTTATTCTGGAGAAAGTTATGGATTTTTGAAGAGGTAGCAATGTCAGTACTTGACAACCGAGGCTGAGGTTTTTAATCTTGCAGGTGTTCAAATCCATTTAAATCTCTCGCAGGAATACTTGTGCACTAAAATTACAAAAACCTTTAAAAAGTTTTATGGTCGTCATATTGACTTGATTGGTAAATATAGCATGTCTCTCTTGACTATTATTCTAGATAGATTTAATTGACGCGTATACTATCTCCCCGATTATGTCTGCTACATCGTTAACACTGTTCATCACATGGATTTTGCATACTGATAGTCCATTGGCCAATCACGCTATGTTACCAAGATTTTGTCTAATAGTTTGGATGCAGCTATGGCAGGTGTGGCGCCAGGCAGGGTAAGCTTACTCTTCCGGACACCTGTTACCAATGTTTGTCGTGTATTTTTTACACGGTGAACAGTCCATTTGCTGATTACACTATTTTGCCTATACCATTTTTTTAGGACTTTGAATTTTGTCTAATGGTTTGGATTGTTTGTACTTGGTTTTATTTTATTTAGACAATCTATTTAGACTTGTCAGGTGTATTAATATCTAAATAATAATAAGATTGAAAGTCAACATAAACACCTTGCTAGAGGCAGATTTAGCACTTCCGTAAAGCACCTTTAAGTTTCCAATTGTTTCTTGTAATTGATTCTGAGAAAAGAAATTTCAAAGTCACCTTGGCCTGTGGCTTGAAAATTTTATTAGATTAACTCAGTTAACTGTTGGATATGTGTCATATTTTGACGAATGTTTGTCGCAGAGATTGGTTGATTCTGGTTCTTGTTGACAATGTCGGGGGAAATGACTGATATGATTATGTCATCAGTGAAATATGACAACCAGATTGTCTGTGAATAGAAATGCTTGTGGCGTATTGGATTTATTGAATAGAGTAGTAATAAGGTCTTTAGACAGTGTATATAATGGCTAGATTCTCTGTTGACTTCTTTCACCTCTTTCCATTCTTCATTAGTTTATTTCGGTCACGTTCATTCTTTGTACTTATTTGATGTCTCTCTCTGTTATAATATTTATTTCAATGGCTAAAGCATACAAAAATTAATCTCATAACCCCCTTAATATGTTATAGATTTGTTCCAATTTCTAATATTAGACGCTAGCTCGCTAGCCTGGAGGTCGGGTGTTCGATCCCTGCATTGGCCGAGAAAGTTCATCCAGATTTTCCGGCGTGGTTCTCCCTTGTCAGTGATGCAGGACGGAGGGGCTGACAAGGAAAGCTGTCTAGTCGTTCGGATGGGACGAAAAACCGAGGTCCCATGTACACATTGGCGTGCACGTAAAAGATCCCTTGGCAGTTGGAATTCGATATAAGAGTAGGCCGTAGTGACGCTGTCCGGGCAAAATTTCCCTCATAGCACACTGTGTGGCGTATGCCCGTCTTCATTAGCCCAGGTTAGGAGCAGAACTGTAGGACGTTAAACTCCATTTCATTTCATTTTTTAAACATTTCTAGCCAAACACGGCCCATCCACTGTGTACTTAGTTGAAGTCTTTCTGTTATTATGTTACGCATATAAATAATATTTCAATGGCTAAAGACTAACCACATAACCCACTTAATGTGTTATAGATTAGTATTGTTCCAATTTCTAACATTTCAAAATTTCTAGCCAAACACAGCCCATCCACACTTTAAATATTTTCTAGATGTCTCTCATTATTATTAAAAATGATGTCCACAACCCTAATTATTGTTAAATGCCATCTGAAAAATAGTTATATGATAATAGATATTTCAATAAAGATATCACTGTGAAACTGATAATGTTCCCTTATTAACCAAGGGCTTTTACTAATGACCATGTTTGCTATTAAAACATATAAATCATCATTAATTTAAATTAAGGTTCAGTATGTATAGAAGGTGATTTGAAAGTATACAGTAGTCATTAATTAGCAAGTGTGTATATAACTAGCTAGTGTGAATGTGACAATTTCTAAAACCCACCATCATTGAATACAGAAACCCAACCAATTAACTCATAGTGATTACTGTCTGATTACTAATTCATTATATCTGATTAGTAATCATTACACATATAAAAAAAACATTTGTTCATGAGGGAACGATATCCTGAAAAATTAAACCATTGATTGGAAAACAGTTTTAACTGTCTGAGAAAAATGTATTTGTTCCTCCCCCCCCTCCCCCCAAACAAATCTTTTGAGTTATTTCAAGCCAAACACAATTAATACAAATATTAAGACTGGTGCCACTGTGAATGACTAAGTCTTGTCAGTCTTATTGAGTGACCACTATGGCACAAGTATGGTTGCTGTGGGCTTCCCAGCAAACTACACTAATGGCACTCTGCATGATGTATGGCTATCTTCCTGGGATTTGTACATTTAACTAAGTGACAAATCTGCTGTATGTGCAAGAATGGATTCAGAATTGTTTCCAATAGTGTTAATATGGATATTAGTCAAATCAATTAAATTTTATACCAACTTTTTATATTAGAAAATTAGTCCAATGTTAAAATTTTGAATTTCTCTCTTCAGGTCTGAGAACATGGCTTTAAAAGTGGATGATATGAATCAGAAAGAGAACACTATTAAACTTTCACTACAGACAGTGGATTATAGACTCACAAAACTAGAAGAAATAGCCTTGCAGACATCGGAAACATTAAACCTACTTCAACGCATGATGACGCGACGTAACTCAACTCATAGTTTAGGTGTACCTGGTGGCAGCTTTAGCCACTGTTCTATGGAAGATATTCCCATAAGTCTATCTTTGTCAATGGACAGTAATAAAAATGCTGGTGACGCAAGTGAGACCCTCATGCGTAGTCAGCCCTCCCCGATTCTAGTTCACTCAAAACGTCCAGTACAGCAAGATCAGTTGCAAAAATTTACTAACTATATTCGTGGACGTCATCTCAGTGGTGAAACTTATTCTCAGATGCCATCAGAAGATGCTGCAGATACTGTAGTAGCTTCATTTGCTGCAGATGCTGCAGTTGAACCACCAAACATTTCAACAGAATCAGCTGTTGTAATTTGTTCAGAGCCTGGCGACAATCTCAATGACAATAATTCTTATAGTCATGCTAATTTATTACAACGACGACATGGACCAGCTCAGCTTTCACTCAATATTAAAACTAAATCACCTTCTATACGCAAAACTAGTGATGTCGTAAGTCCAGTGCAACTTGTGTCTTCAAGTCTAGAAACACCCAAACAAGGTAATTTATCAGATTCGTCAGTGCCGAAAGTTATGTTCAGCACAGCAAAGATGCCATCAGAAACAAACACAGCAACTCAGGCAATGGAAAAACCCGATACTCTAAGCATACCAGAAACTGGAGAGATACGACGAAAATTATCTGAGCATTCCATTGTTGCTGTGACACCCGTCTCTCCTGAAGTACATCCCCTTACTCCAAACATATCTGTCCCAATAACATTTATTAGTCCAGATCCAAGCTTAATTCCTCAATCAGCCGTCAAAGACCTGACCTCAATTTTGACCCCATTGATCTCGGAGTACACATCAATAACTGATGAAATCGACACTTCCTGTATCAAAGACCGAAGTCCGCAAAGAAGTCCTACCACTTCTGGCATTTTCTTTGGAGAAAATTATCCGGCTCTTAAAAGCAAGGAAACACCGGCATCGAAATCTGAAAAAGTAGCTTTGAAACAAGCAGAGGAGGTCGGTAAGCGCAAGATGCAAAAATTAATTCGGCATCGTTTACGACAAATATCTCAAGATGAAACGGACAGTATAAGTGACATGGCAAAATTAGCTGTCTCTGAATTATCTAATGATGAACATCATGAGCTACACGACGAAGAGGAAGAAGAGGATGAAAATGGCGAACATGATACGGATAACGATAGCACATTTTTTGAACCAATAGAAATCAAGGTTCATTCGGCTAGTCAAGATGAACCTACTCACCCTAGTCTAAGTTAATATACGGTGATGGTTAATTCAATGAATATTAGTAATTAAAATTGTGTAGTTATATTGAATTTATTAAAATAAATTAAACAATTAAATTAATTGTTAAATTAAATTGACCTAACAAACAAATTAATATATTTAATGAAGTTTTTAATTTACTGTGTATTATATAATACGTGTACATACATTTCGTGACATATATATATATGTATATTGTCAATATATATATATATTTTATGTATTTTCAGAAACAAACAGATTTTATTTTACATATAATAATCTAATTTTTATTTGCCATATTGATATCACAATTTTTTTGTATTATGGATCACTTGATTTTAACAATGGAGTTATCTTTATCTAGATTGTAATCTGTTCTATAGGTAAAGGATAAGGTATTTATACTAAATTAATATAAATACTAAATTGATTTTTTTAATCAGTACAGTTGGGTTAGGAATATTTATGTGTTATTAATACTTACTATATGATCAAGAAGGATAACTTCATGTTTTAAAAAAAAAAGCTTTAAAAAAAAAATATGAAATCCTTTGAAATTTATTAAATAGAATAAGTTGAAATTGCTTGTATTTCAATATGATTATTAATTAACGCCAGGATCAGAATCAAGGTTGATGAAACTACAGAAATCATTTGTAATTTAAACCAGAGCCCTTGTTTCATTCATATTTGCCAGTTTTGACTGACTGGCAGTGAAATTGACCAACTTGAAAACTTACTTGTCAGTCAAATTTACTTATTTTTAAATAGGAATTTCAAAGAGTTTGACCTTAAACCGTGATAAATACAGTTAAACTTACAGTTTTGATATGTGAAAACACTTCAAAATATAATATATGAAAATTGGAATAATGCTAAAAATTATCATAAATTTTTGAAAATATATATTTTGCTTCTCTCAGGTAAACCAAATAGGTCAAAAATTGACCTGACCAACTGGCAAAATATTGAAGTAAAAGACCTGCATCAAGTCTTCCTGTGGTGCAACAAATATTTTAATAATAAAATTTTATCGGTCAACCAGTTGTGGTTGGGTTTTTAAAGACTAGTTAACCGTTTCAAGAATTTTTTAACCGTTACATCCTTAGTTTAAACCAAACTAAACTATAAACATTACCTTATAATACACTGGAGTTGAATCTCATATTGTAAAAGAAAATAGAATCAAAATATGTACTTGTGTTAACTCATCTTTGTTTTACAGATTTACGAACATTTCTGTCTAGAAAGAAATCAATGACTTTTTATACTTTTGTCTGTCGGTTTTGATTTCTTGAGACAAGACAAATATTCAGAGCTTATTGAACCGAGCAGAATCGATCAGCTTGTACTCTTAGTTTCGCGTTTATTTCTTTAAACTATTGAGATAAAGGTTTTATTATGTATATTTAGCAAATATTTTATGGATTTTTTTAGACAAATGACTTGATGATATTATTTTATTTTGATCATGTAGCCCTAACCATGTCTATAAAAATTGTTGATGTGAATTGTTTAAATTGTTATTGATTAATTAGTTAAAGATAATTGTAATTAGTGTAAATAGTAGAGTAGTTATTTAATATTATTATTATTATTAGTTAAATGGGAGTTAAATATTGAGCTCGTTGGGTTGCAAATTCGACGTAATGGAGACGTACCAGTGCTAATTAGATGAGAAAAGTTTATATATATCATGATAAATCAATTATAAAGATTCAAATTTGGTTGACATAAGACAAGTTTGAAAGACGTCAATGTATATCTTCAAGTGCAACCCTCAGCCCAAGAACCCCCGACAATGGTAACAGTGCAAATGAAGCTAACAATATTTGGGTTCAAAAGTACCTTCACAAAAAAAAAATAAATGAAGGCTACCTCAAAATGATAAATAGTTTTAAAGATGTAAATTTGGTTGGCATAAGTTTTAAAGACACCCATATATAGCTTCATTTGCAGCCCACAGCCAAGGAAACCCCCTAATCATTTCCTGTGATTAGTCTTTTCACTTCCCTGTGGTTTTGGTGGTGATGAAAACAGTGCTTTCATAAAACAAAAAGAATTTAATTGCCATAATTTTTAGTCTTCATATTATCTACATTGTCACAATTATTTCACATATTTTATCTTCATTAAAACATTAATTGTACATTCAAATTAACCATTTATGCATTTATTTATTTATTGGGGAATTTCATAAGTTATGTCTATATATTATATATTGTTCAAAAGACACTGGTGGAAATTTTAAATTGTATATGAAGGGCTCTCATTTTAATCATGTCTACAAGTCTTGGCTGACCAGTAGTGAGAACTTACCTGCTAATTAGCTCACATGCCATTAAATAAAAATCGTCATAAAATTAGAATTTCAAATTGAAACACGATAAACACATTGAAAAAATACATTTCAAGAATTCGGACAATTGTAAAAATTAGCTTTGCTAATCAGAAGTAGAGGAAATATTTTTAAAAAAATGACCAGGCTGGCAAAATTTGTAGTGAAAGCCCTGATGCAATGTCTATGACAACATTCAAATTCCAATAGACTTTTTCCAACATTGTGGGATTTTACTACTTGTCCATTTTAAGCCACATTTTCTTGTCTTTATGAAATTGATTAATCCCAGTCATTTTTCAAGATGGTGAATGAGATACATATAAAATCTAGATAAAGTTACTGGTAAAATGAAATTATGAGTTCCCTTTCGATTAAATGATCATTACATATCTTCTTAACATTTTCTGTGTTAGGTTACAATTGTCTATATAAAGTACTGTTGAATTCTTTCTGAAACTAAAATCTGAGATATTTTGAAACTATTAACCGATTTATAAAATGTACAAAAATCTTTTATTTCCCTGAAATAATACCCTGATATTATTAGAAAATAAAAAGCTCCTATGCATTGAATTATGTTTTTTTTGTATTGAAATTGATGTCCAAGATGTGGGAGTATTGTTTAGAATATAAAACAAGTGCCCCATAGTCTACTTGTACACTAGTGTGTAGTGGGGGTGGGGGCGAATGGTTAACACTGCGCATTTGATCATAAGGTCTGTCATTGATTCAAGTGGCGTGGTTTTGAATCTTCGCTTATACGTGACAATGAGTGTGGTCGCCTATCCTACCTTGTGGGTTTTCTCTAGCTGGGTCCTCGGGTTTCCTCCCACTGCTTAAGACCCCTGCACACAAGCAACTTATTGAAATAAAATTGAACCATGTGTTAGTCACAAAATGATTTAGTTTGTGTTCAGTGGACCTTAAACCCTCTCTCTCTATCTATGTGTGTAGTTCATGTAGGCAATTAGTATTAGATTACCTAAACTAAAACAGGGCCGGGGAAAGCAATTCTTGATTGGGGGGGCTTAAATCCTAGGTCCTTATAGGCGTGGGTTCAGGGGCCGCAATAACCTGGAGAAAAGAGTACTTGCGGCCAAATTATAGCCCCCCCCCCCCCCGCCGGGCCTGTAAAATTACATCAGAAATGTTAATATAGATACGGGAAGAAATGAAATAGGATCTAATATCTGCACTCACTAAGTTCATGAACACGTATATGTGCCATAACAGCGCTACCTCCTACTCTTATTTCTAATTCCACGGCCCACAAACATTTACAACTCTTAAACAGTTACTTTCCGACCTGTTCAACTTTGGAAAGATTCAGAGAGAACATTGTCGCGTCTAAGAATAGTGTTTCCGTATAGGGTGAAAAAACGGCGAGCCGTGTACTAAAAGCCAAATGAAAATCTCTTTGGAAAATTTGATATACTCCATCACCCAACCAAAGAAAGATTATTATTACTTTTTGTTAATATAAAAATGACCTGGTTAGAAGCCAAACATTAAACAACATTCCTAGGGCGATCGGACATAAAATGAAAGGGGTTTAATGTCCAACTATTTTGCTCCGACTGGGTTAATGAGCTCTTACATCGATCGAATACAAACCGAACGATTGTGTTGTCCCTTGTCAGGTTCTCTGTCTCGAATCACTGACAAGTGGGGAAACTACCTTCAGGTTAGGGAACCAACGTCTTACAAACTGTCGCCACCGTGGCTACCCTAGGGGGGATCGGATCACACTGATCAGCAGTGAATATTCCCTAGGCCGCCACAATCACTGATAAGGATGACATCAATGCGACTTAATGAGTCTCAAATATTATTTTTTTTCCACCGACAAATTAAATTCTAAAACATTTTTTTGATGTATTAGAAAAATAAATAAAGACGTTTGACGTATTTGTAGGTAAAAATGATTTCCTGTTTAGTGTAAATGGGTATTAAAATGAGTAAAAGACAGCATTCTGCCCGAAGCAGTAACGTCTTACGTAAACAATGTACGCACCATTCAACCAATGATTGACGCAGCGTGCTGTGACGGCACGTGTTAAAGGCAGTCATCTTTTACAGAGATATTAGAAGACTCGTAATTCTCTGTGAAACAGGGAGGGGGGGGGGATGACTAAATGGTAAGGGTGCGCGCGCTGTATCATAAAGTCTGTCATTGAGTCGACTGGCGTGGTTTCGAATCCCCGGCTGTACGTGACAATGAGTAGGGTCGCCTGTCCAACCTCGTGGGTTTTCTCCGGGTCCTCCGGTTTCCTCCCACTGCTAAAGACCCCTATGCGCAAGCGAATTATTGAAATAAAATTATACCATAGGTTAGTCCCGAAATGACCTAGTTTGTGTCGAGTGGACGTTAAACCCCATTTCTCTCTCTCTCTCTCTCTCTCTCTCTCTTTCTCTCTCTGTGAAACAGATTAGGATCTGATTCCTGGAGATATTCAGGTATTGCCGAGAGTATACAGTATATACAATAAACAGGAGGACAGGGGAAGAATGCCAATAAATGTAGTGAAATAATATATCGATTTTATCTATGTTGATGACAAAGTCTTTGATGAGAAAATAAAAGTAAAACCATATCGACAGGTGGTGGTATTTTTTCACAAAATGTCCTACAAAACAAAAATGATCGAGCGATGTTTCTTTGATAAATATACAAACATGTTTACGTTTTCCGTGAGAAAATAATCGAAAATTACCAAAACATTGCAATCACAATAGATCGGTTACCAGGCAACGAAACATGCACGTTTTTCGTTTCAATGTGCATTTCGATCATATATGGATTATTGTAGTCCGGCGGTCGGGAAGACAGGGTGTGATGGATGGGCTGTTGGAGATGGGTCTGGGAGGATGTGTGGCCACATTAAATGGGGGATTGTACCTTATGGCTGTCGTCAATCATAATTGCCACCTGAAATTGTCATATCAGATAAGTGTCAGATATTTGTAATCGCTGATAAATTTAGAGGGGCCCCGTAAAACCCCTTAACCTAAGCAGTAATCTTC